TACTGGTTCCTCCCAGTCCCAACCCAATTTTCAGACCCAAACCTATAAAGCAACCTTGAAGCTATGCTACAAATCTAGAGACATCCAATGCTGCTCGTATTACTCCGTATATCCACTTCCTCCCATCTTAAACGATACTCACCTCAACCGCTAACCTCCGAGTCACTCTTCTCTCCGGGCTCCTCGTAAAGAGTGTTCTCGTCGAGTGTGGTCATACCAAGACCAAGACCACTGAGATCTTCCACATCGGTCTCGTCCTCTGTAGTTGCACCATTGCCCATCTCCTCCGCCAGAATGTTTCTGATATCCTCTTCGCTGAGAATAGTTTGAATGCTACCCCGACGCACCCATGGTCTTGAATCAGACCGTCCACGTTCAACCAGTCGCTCAATCTTGAGTCTGTTCTCAATAAACTTGAGCTTGGGGAAAGCACTTTGCTTCCCTTCGTGAATCATACGGGATAGTCGATGGGGATCGGGATCTGATAGGATGCGCCAGAAGTCTGAAATCCTCGACTTTGGCCAAATCGTAATAGTACCGCTGAATTGTTGAAGCCAAAGCTGACTCCAGTCTTGACCAAGAGGCCGGGGCAGCAGTTCGGCGTGGCGGATAAACTTGAGCCACTTGTTCATATCCAGTTTGAGATAGTGCTCAAACGCAGACATCAGGTAGCCACCTCGCCATCCACGCCCCTTGCGATGTGTGACTGGGTGACCAACTGAGCCTCGAGAAGAAAAAAAGAAAAGATTGATGTGTGGGTTGACTTGGCTGACAATTGTAAAGTTGACGTTGAAGTGTGTGTTCAAGGCCTTGATGGGAATATCTGTCCGCAAACTGCCATCTTTCCACTTGTGGCCAAAAGAGTACGGCTCTAGCGAACCGTCTCGAGTCTTCATCATGAGGACGACAGGGTTGATAATTCCGGGTACAGCGGCCGATGCCAACACCGCCGACCAGATAACACAATCGGGGCTTGTGAGGTAGTTGCAAAGAATCGTCGGCGAATGGGGGTCAGCTGGCACACAGGTAACATTGAGAATGCGACCTGTTCGTTCATAAGCTTCTCGAAATGTCAGAGAGCCATGTGTCCACCAGCTGCATCGTCGCGCCCAGTCAACCGAGTCAAAACGAGCTCCAGTCTTCCACCATCGAGGAATCCAGACTGTAAATGGTTCGCGGCAGGCGTTGATCCGCTCTGAAAGCGCTGGCACAAGAAGTTGCTTAAGCTCATCATTCGTTCGAGTGGCCACCAAAGCAGCTACTAGAGCACCACCACTGGTACCTGTAATGACATCTGGTAGCAGATCCGCATCGAGCAAAGCTCGAACAACACCAATGTGATAGTAGGCAAAGGCTGCACCCCCCGAGAGACAGAGAGCTGTTCTTCCGTAGTTCGCATAGACGTGCTTGAACAGAACTCGCTTCTGTTCCATCTCAAGTTGTTTGGTGTTTATAAGAAATTTAATGCACTTCTCCTCTGCTTCGGGTTAGAATCTTGGAGTGTCTAGCTGGGGCATTAGGAACTCACCTTCATCGAGGAAATTTTGTACCAGATTCTTGGTTCCATAGTACGTTTGGCTGTACAACCTTGCGTTCTCAACGCCAACAAAGTTATTCTTGACGCAAGCTTCGATCAAGGTCTTCAGTTCATCCACCGCTTTACCTCCATCACCCTTCTCGCCCTTGCTTTCTTGCTCTTCAGCGCGCAGTCTTGTCTTCTTCATCTGCTCCCAAACTCTTCGAACGGTCTTGGAATCGTAGTATGCGAAATCGTTCTCTTCCCTCCATGTTTGTCGGCCAAGGTAGTTGTCGAGCTCCTTTGCAGCGCTTACCCAATCGTCATACTTCGACGCATGTCGCAAATTTCTTCGGAGTCTTTCTCGCTGGCCGCGCCATGTGAAGAAATGCTCGTAAACCCAGATGTATAGTCTTGTCGAGAGATATGCAACGACAAGTCCACCCAGCCACGCAAACACGAAGAAAAGCAGAGGCCATTTTGAAAGTTGGTATAGATATCCCTCTCGAGTCTCATCCTTGGTGCGGGTCCCTAGAAGACCTTCAACAGCCCCCTTTCCACCCCTGCGCTTTCTCTTGCTTCGCCTCGAACCACGCCGACGGCTATAGATCTTTTCGTTGACGGGCGCCCAATCGTTCTGCGCCGTGATAAAAGTCCCTTGATTCGGTGTCGGCGGAACAGGAAGATCTCCAGAAGCAGCGTCCGCCGCGGCGGCGACAGCAGCTACATCATCCGCAAGGCCAGATTCGACCTGCGAAGGCCTCTTTGTCACACTGAACGAACTCGGGCTGCGTGGCGACCGAGCACCGTTTTCGTCGGCTGGACTCTGAAGCGGGTCAGGAGCCTGGAGCGCCTTCTCAAAGGCTTCCAAGTCTTGCGCATCGACGAATTCAGTGTCGACATCAGGAAGAAGGGAGGGGTCGAAAGATTCCGGTGGAAATCCATAGACTGGATCGCGAGGCAGTAGTGAGGAAAACGACGAGGACGACATTGCGATCGATTTTATGCTGTAATCTCTAACCCATTGCTGATAGGAGAGAGAAATAAGTCGGCTTTCTTGGAATCGTAAGATGTTACAGCGGGTTAAGGGAGAAATTGATTACTATGATGCGAAGCTCTGTTGGGTTGCCTTGTGACGATTCTAGTAGCATGACGTAGATTCGTTGGGGAAACTGTACAGAGGTACATTTCCCGGGGATCCATACCAGTCCGTCTTGGCGAACCGAGGCCTCTATCGAACACCTGGTACCACTACCTACAGCGATTAGGATGAGCCCACGAGCGCTAATCATGAGATGTAAACGCATAATCTCTCTCTAATTCTTGCCACCTTCTCTTTTAGCTACGATTAAACTAGTTACATCACGCATCATAATATGTGTTCCGACGATGCCTACCTAGGCACAATAATGTCGTTCATGAGCACAGCCACCCCTTGTAAAACACCCTAGCACTTAACACCAGGGGTCTGATTTTTCCATCTTCAGGAGCATTCCCGATATGAGGCGAGGCTCGATTTTGTAGCAAGTAAATATAGTAGAATTGCAGGACCAATGTTCGCCTAAGGGAGAATTCTGAGTCTCATAACACTGGAAATCACTTGTCCTTTCTGCCTCTCCCCAAAAGGACTTGACGTAAGGTATACCTCTCTAGCTCACTGCCTCACTTCTTTCAATCTCATCCCGTCTTCCCTACTCCTCTATACGTACTGCGACAGCCAGCGTATACCTTCGCCGTAGCCTTGTCGCATAACCACTGAGCACATGAAGAGCTCGATAGGTCGGATACCCTCGAGAGGGACCTTGCCCTTGCCGGTTGTCTGGTAAAGGCCGAGCTGGTGTCGCATCTCGTCCTCAGAGATAGCATCAGGGTGGTCGATCTTGTTGCCGAGAATGACGAAGGGAACCTTGGAGAGCTCCTCCATGGAGAGGAGGGCGTCGAGCTCGGCCTTGGCCTCACCGAATCGCTCGTGGTCCTTGGCATCAACAAGGAAGACAACGCCGTTGACCTCGGGGAAGTAGTCGCGCCAGATACGTCGGGCTATAAAAGTTGTTAGATATACTTGCGGAGTTGAAGGTGTGGTGTATTGGCATACCCTGCTGGTGACCGCCGAGATCGAAAGTGGTGAATCGAACGTTGCCGATGGCAAGCTCCTCGGATGCTGTGATGTCTCAGTATAACGCCTTGTTGATGCTTTCACAAAGGATCTTACTGGGGTGAAGAGTGGGTTGGAGGATAGCGACACGGTCGTTCTGTAAATCCATCGTTAGTCGTAATATATCTCCAAAACCGCCACCGCTGGTAACAAGTATCCGAGCTGACAGCCACCCATCCAACAATCCAGCCGCATTTTGTCGACGTACCTTCAGCATGTGAAGCAGAGTAGTCTTTCCGGCATTGTCGAGACCCAAGAAGAGCAGCTTTGCGTGCTTGTTGAGCAGTCCCAAGGAGGACAGCACATCATAGACTATACGCAGCACGTGTCAGCCCATTCAAGTTACCAGTTGTTTAATCGTAACCGGTTACATACACCAGTTGACAATCCACATGTTGTGTGAGTATTAAAGGTGAGTATTAGGCTGAAATAAAAGGTTGTGGTGTTATTATCTTGCACTGGAGAAAAGGAGTCGTCGTTATCGTTGGCGTCGTGGAAAGTAGCTGCTGGTGGATTGTTAGGAGGCGTTGCATTGAACCAAAAGCTGGCAAGAAAGGGACGCCGAAATGGTGCCTGAATTTCAAGGCATGTATATCATCGTGCATGTCACGCCGTACAGTTCCGTCCCTCGATACCGAGCTGCAGGTCAGCGGGCACAAACAAGAACAGTGGCTAAAATTTGTATATTTAGGTACGCATAAGAATATTCTATGTTTTCTTGTCCTTTACTACAGGAGTATTCGCAGTTCCATTGCCAAATTGTGGTGTCTCGAGGACTCACTTACACCAAAGTGACCAGCTAGTGACATCCCCGATGGTCAACGAGACTTAATCACACTTACCAACATCTTTGACTAACTGCGTGTAGTCTTATTCATCCAGTTATTTTATATCACGGGAAGCGACCGTTAATATATGGCAGAGAATCATTGTCGTGATTGATATTCCGCTAAATGCATTTATGTCATGATAGCCTCTCATCCAACGCCGAGCATGTACCCCAGTAATACCAAATGCTGTATCGGGTATCCAAGCAGTTCAAAATAAGCTCCTTTCCGCCAGTAGCGAGCGTTGTCCGGCCGCTTTATGCAGTATGACAAAGAAAAAGTAGAAAAAATATGTACAGGAAATCTCGAACATTGCGAGCATCCGGGGGTCCATTACCAGTATATACAGTAAAACAATCTCGGAGACCTAGCCGAGAAGGTGTAAGAAAGGACATTTGAGTCATCAAGTTAAATCGTGTAAGATGTATCATCTTCGTCGTAACGTGTCTCGCAGTCTAAATCGAAAGCATCAATGTTCTCTTGCAAGGACAGTCAAGCATGCTTAGATGGAAAGGACATAATTGGTCTGGTCCTTCTTGCCAGCCATGAGAAGGCCAAGTTCCCTCATGCGTTCCGTGCCGCGACCGGGAACAGGCTTGCGCTCGGGGATCTGGCCTCGTCGAGCGCGATTGCAGTACTTTTGGTGGAACTTCTCTTTGCGTCGCTGACGCTTACTCTCCAGACCCTTGACAATATCGATAGCACCACGAATGTGGGTATCGTTGTCGTATTTGACCTTGTGTCGGGCCTGCTTTCGCTGGTGGCACATTGCACCGCCACGAGGAAGAGACTTGGTGTGAGTGAGTCCAGGGCGACCAGCCAGGTTGAAGTTGACTTGGCCGCAGCGAGGAGATCCAAGAGGGGTGGTGATGGGCTTCCGCATAGGAGCTGGGGACTTGGCCTTTCGAGGGGATTGACGGTCAAACAAAGGCTTGGGTGATCGGCCTCGGACCTTGGGTGGGGGTGAGTGATGGCGCTTTGGGGGAGGAGAGCGGAATCGCTTGGGAGATGCATGCTCGCTCTTGCGACGGCGACGAGGGCGGTCACGCTCCTGATGAAGGTCCTCCATTTTGCCCTGGAAGAACTCATCATCCTCATCACTCGAGTGGTGAACAGGGTTGAAGATCTCACCCTCGTTTTCCTCCTCAGGCTCAGAGGCAGGGAAACTAGGGTCGATGTCCTGAGGAATAACGCGAAGCTTTTCATTTCGTCGAGCTGCGAGGCAAGAAAGGTAGGCTTCCTCGAGAGGACGGTCCTCATCCAGTGTACCGCAGACAAAGTCAGTGCTATCAGGAAGATCAGGAGCCTCCTCAGCATATCTGACGCGCTTTGAGCGACGGTTGGCACGCTCTTTGTCTATGGTAGTGATAGAAGAGTCAGACTGTAACTCGTGAAGAGAAGGGCGGCGCATGAGAGTAGCACCCGATCCGATATGAACCACAGACTTGGCTCCAGGGGTCCAAAGACGCATGTCATCGTCCTCATCATCCTCATCAGAGTCAGCGAAGCCGGTCTCTTCATCGGTGTGATAGCCGTCAGAGTCGTCATCGTCCTCCTCGTCCTCCTCATCATCCTCGTCGAGCTCAACATCGAGTTCGTCATCCTCATCTTCATCTTCATCCCCGTCCTCATCATCCTCGTCGTCAACGTCAGCATCCTCCTCATCCTCAAGTTCGTCTTCTTCCTCTTGCGCCTCTTCCTCTGCCTCGGTAGCCAGACGTCGAATGTTGTTCTCCTTGGTCAGAGTGTCATTGATTGTCAGTTTGGTTGCAACAGCATTGCTATCACGTCGGATCCAATCGTCCTCTCGAGTGATACCACTAGCAAACTCGTGGAACTGTGAACTGTCCGTGACAAGGTCAGAGGAATCGGCACGGAGAAATCGAGGACGCGACATGGAGTGTCGACGAGGTGTGACCTGGCGGGGTGCAGCAAACGCCAGTGCTGACATTCGCTTGGGGGTTGAAGGAGATTCGGCCTTTGGTGTTGCGTCCTTCTTAGCGCAGTTCTCGGTATACCGGGGAGGAGTGTTCTGGGTAGAAGCGGGTCGAGCTGGGCATGCAAACTTGATGCACGACTTGCGAGGAGCTTCCTGAGCCGAAGGCGCCTTGGCCATAGGTTGGGATCGAGGGGGTTGTTCCTGGACCACGGGCTTGGCAACGCATGCAAACTGAATACTTCGCTTGCGAGGCTCCTCAGTCTTGCCTTGCTGTAACCTGACAGCAGCACCTAGCAAAGAAACATGTGTAGGCTCGGCAGCACGTCCATCGTGCAGGCGTAACATGGCCATTTCAGGAAGAGGAGGGCTTGGTGTGTTCGGTCTCGAAGGACTAGTAAAACCAGTATCGCTCGTGAGATCGGCAGTCGAAGCGAGGCTGATGTTGCTAACAAGGGAGCGGCGTCGCTGGGTGTTGGCCATGGGTCGTGAGATAGTCTGGGGAGTGTAGAGGTCGTCGTCTGAGTTTCCATTGATAGCCTTGGTCAACAGAGAGGACTTTTCAGTAGGAGGTCGAATGGTAGTTCGCTGGAAATCGTTGGCAGTAAACTGTTGTTTCTTAAGGGTTATCTCAGGCGGTTCGTCGGCCTCCTCGAGCTCTTCTGAACCGTGAGCCACCCACAGGGTGTCTGGGTTATTGGTAGTCATGTTGGTCGTCATTTCGGTCAATAGAGTGTAGGGATTGATCAGGAGATTAGGATAATAGTTGTTGAAGTAGTCGAGAAGGCGTGTAGTTGTATGTGTCGTATAGTAGTTGAGGTGCAAGACGTTGCAGTTGTGTTATTGCCTTGGCAATAGCAGCGTCGAAGGAGGCGGCTAAAAGTGTCCCTGAGGACAGTAGTGCTATAACAGCAAGACAAACATCGTCAACTGGAATAGTTTAGAGTAGGTTGTTGGTTGGGGTGGTTGCTTTGTGCGTGAGAGTGCTTTGATATGGGTCGATGGCAGAAGTGAGATGCAATGCAGGGCCGGGCCGGACTGGGCTTTTGAGTAGAAGCTAGAAGAGGAGTAGAAAAGGCGGCTGATTCCCAAGTTGCAGGATTTCCCCAATCTCAATTCAGGGTGGCGTCTGTGCTGTGTTGTGTAGGTGGGTGTATGGATTGTTGTGGGTGTGTGAGTGTATGAGAGCCGCTGTTCTGTTTATTGCGCGTGGAGACTGCTGCATATGACGTTCTCCGAGGGCGGGCACGAGTACGGCACCGTTTTGTAGTGTAACTCTATGTACAGCACAGTACAGTACAGATCAAGGTCTGAGACAAAGTTGCTCGACAGGGACAGGGGGGGAGGGATGATGGGTGTACGGATGCTTTGTAGATTGTTTTAGAAGAAACAACTAAAAACACTGAACGGAACAGAACAAAACAAAATAAAACAAAGAAAGGGCTGGAGAAGGGCGAGGCAATTATTTGAGACAGTGAGAAAAAGAGAGAGACGAGGGTGGCCTCGGGTCCCGTCTTTTTTATTTATTAATAAGGTAAGCCTTGTTAATCGGCGCGAAGCAACGAGAACGGAAAGAAAAATTGCAGGTGGAAATGAACGAAAATTGACGGGAATACCTAACGCTTCAAGGAAGACGCCAGCGAAAAAAAGGTACCGGCCGACTCTGGGCGGAGGTCACTTTCAGGTTGGGGCCAACGACGACAAGGAACGGGATGAAATTTAGGGGGGCCGTTCCCTGAGATACCCTAAATTAAGAGGACAATGGGCGATTTGCCGTGCCAGGAGCGGGTAAAAAATGGAGTCCTGTTGCCAGTGCCAAAGAAATTTTACTAGCACGGGTCAGAAGCAGAGGAACTGACTGGCCTGACTGACTGGCTTGTTACATTTCACAGGGCGCCATGTACTAAGGGCTCAGGGCAGGGCTTCAGGTAATACGCTATCACCAATTGATGCTGAGGTGTGAGTGGACATGACTGACTTAGTGACTGATTGACTGACTTGAAATGACTGACTGATGGAAGCCAAGTTTCGAGTAAGCCCCAGCCTTAGCCGCCTGAGGAAGATGAATTCCTGGTTCACGGCATATTTTTGCGCCCTTTTTTCGCGTCCTCCTGGGCTAGGCTTTTCGACGCCTAGATCGATCCATGGCTTTTTCCCCCCTTGTTGTGCACCCCGAGGTAATAGACCAGGGTGCCAAAATAAACTGGTCTAGAAACCTGGTAGAAATATTAAGCTTACCCAAGTCCTTTTTGTCACTTAGGACAAAGGTACTGATTGCTAGTAGCTTTTTTGTCTTCCCCAGCCGCGAAAAAAAAAAAAAAAAAAAAAACTATCATGCCCTGTAAATGTCTTGCTCCGCTGCTGACGCTCCGAATCGAGTCCGCTTTTCCACGGCGCCGAGAAACAGAGGAGCCGTATAGGATCCATTCCGATTCAAAATTACAGATCCAATGTTGAGGCGAGCATTTACGCATTCCGAGGTCCCAATTTCGGTACGCAGACCGCTCTCAACTCGTTCAGCCCAGTGCATTTCTCCCTTTTCTCTACAGCACGTACGTAGGGAGGTAGACACATCCCTCCGAGGCCACAGTCAGATTTTGTCCAGTCAGGGTCTTCTCAATTGACCAGTGGCGCCTGTCAGCGACGTCCAAACTGAGATAGAGCGTAGATCCACGTTGTTCTATAACCGAAAACAGGTCACCCTGATCTACTGTGTGTCACACCGTCCTGACTCTGTCCTGACTCTGAGAGGCCTGAGGGTTGTCGGGCAGTTTCAGGGTCACGACTCGCTGCTTCGTATACCGTGTGAAGATGACCAAGGGCGCTACTTGCACTGCCCTCCTCCAAGCCTCATGCTCGCATAATCATCAGCAAATACGTACGGTACAGCACGTTAAAGTTCTGCCTCTTCTTTTCCAGAAGCAAACCGCCACAGAATTCTTGACCATTGATTCATCATCCACCCTCGGCAGGCCCACAATAGAATCGTCGCTTGTGAACCTTCCCACCAGTTACGAAGCGTGGTTTTGGTCGTACTAAGCAAACACCATCCGCTTTCATATTCGAGGCGGTGTATCTGTAAATCGCAGCACAGCATTAGCGGTTGATGTTGATGTTGATGTTGCTGTCGTGTCGTATTGGTCATTTGATGGCTTGTGACTGACAATCAGTCACTTTGCCAACCAAATCCTCAGATGATAGACAATGACTTGACACACAACTTGCTTGTTTCAGTACGCAGTCACCCCGCGCAAGGGACCATTAGCCTATGCAAGAAGGGTTGATGCACAAGATGCGCCACAGGCCGCTTTGTTGATCTTTTGGTTTGGCTGGAGGTTTGGTCTGTTACAGGCGTCGACAAAGCCTCGTCTGGTCTATCTCACGCCCTTTGTCAGTGTAACCATGCACAATCCACAAAGAACAGCAACACGAGTTGACGTGCCCTTCATCGCCTACTTTCTTTGCCTTCTCAATCAGGCTTTGTTGCACTGAGTATTGCACGTTTCTACTCTTGGCTAACCCCAAGCCCGTGGGGGTACAGGCCACAGAACACAGCAGAGCAACAACTGATCCAGACCTGATGCTCGCCTCGTCGCTCTTCAACTTCCCCACAATCACCTGTTCCGTTCATGGCAGACTGCCTTTCTACTGGTGCCATTTCCGCACTCGCAAGCTAAGCTGCCGTCTGCGTCTTCGTCTGCGATCTACCCTTGCTTCAGGGACGCACGCAGTAGCCGTCTTGGGTGTCATGTTGTCTCTCCAATCTGCATCAACAGCAACCCCTTCGTCCATCCACCAATTGAACCCTTCTCTTACAACCAGGCTCGTGAGCTCTCCCACGTCTGGCCCACTTGCATACAGAAATGCATGCAATGCAAGCCAGAAATCCCCCGATGACGACAATTTGGCATGGGCATGGATAGACATGGACATGGACATGGACGTGTCTTACTGTTAGCAAGCCTATCTAGCCTATCCATGTGCCCGCAGAATCAATGGACGCATGAAATCCGAGTCAAGAATCCTTTCAGATCCTCAGAGATCATCTCTCAGGTTTATTACAAAGGACCCTGAAACTGACAAATATAGAAAACAGAAACAATCCTCTCTCTCTCCTATCTCACAAGTTGACAGATGAAACGACTGGAGGGTCCTTTGTACGACCTAAGCTGCGCGATATCCGAGCTTCTCGTGACTCGCAGTACTTCATTTAATACTGCGACGATCATGGAAGGTGTTTGAAACTGTCCAATCCTATCTGGCGCTGTTTATTGATCACCAATTGCCTCGGTCTCTTCCCGTGAGTTGGAGCTGCATGCAGGCAGTGCAACCCCCTTGAACTTACTTGAGCAATCAAGGAATGACAGTCGGGGTCTCGGTCTTTGCGATAACGGACCTGTCTGATTTGATATCAGTTCTCTACTGGCGGCTATGTCAATTGGTACGCGTAGTATCGTACATACAGCAGCACAATGGCCAAGACTGGCACGCTGGCTCACTGCTCACTGCTCACTCCTCACTCTCATTCACTGGCATTGGCTTCCTTGAACACTGACGCTCCTTGTCACGTTGACCCGTCCTGCTGGGCACTAACCCCGCGTTGTGAAGTCAAACCCCGCATCTTAAAACAATATGACAGTCAACGCGGTATCAGCGCGTAGCTGTTAAATTCGCATGTTACTCTGCTGTGCTTATGGTGTTTGAGAGGGTGTCTTCTGTGCTCTCACTCATGCAGCCCAGATAGCCTTTCTGAGGTTGACTGTCCAGTGTCCTTCACCCACAGCCCACCCACTCTTTAAACAGGGCTCTGACATCGCGAGACTCCGGCGGTGAACATGCTATTTCTTTACGTTGTTGAAATTGCGGCTGGGATCACGATCAAGAAGACATCGAGTAAAACCGAAGCTACAAAGAGGATAATGATCACGAGATGACCGCCATCATGGCAACAATGGAGTCAGCTCTGTGCATTCAAGCTGCTCAGCATACCGCTAAGCAGTATATGGGATAGCTATTAACAGGATATCCTGAGAAGTTGTTTCGATACACTTCTCGAATTCTAACTGCATCCAACATACCTACATAGACTTTGATCTAGCTAGTTTGGAGACCGAGCACATGAATTTCCAAAGTATCATCACATTGTGACACTATTGAATGCTGAAGAGGATGCAGGTGCATTTATCTACGGTAGATGTCTTCGACTACTCATGCTCATCAAAGCAGTGTCACCACCGTGTAAGTCCTTACCCGCACCTCGCATATCGACCCGCATGCCGCAATGCTCCATCTCTCTGCATCGTCAAACAGACCCAGGTCTCGGCCGGTAATACCACTGGACTGGCCCGACTCAGAGGACCCATCATCTCGTTGTTTTTACGCCGAAAACAGAGAAGACAGTTGCGCGGTTTTTTGGCAAAGGAGGTGTGGACTGCTGCATGATGGGTTGTACAGCAGTCGATGGAGTCTGAGGAGGTGAACTCTCATTTCATTTTCCCTTGCCGCTCTCCCTAGCCGGTTCCTTTCATCCTGAGAAGAGCCGACCGCCCGTGAGATGGCTTGATATTGATACAACCGCGGGATATGGGTGCCCATGCTCCAGCCCTTGGGAGAAGCCACATCTACAGATTGAGGAACAAGCATTCTTCGTCATGCAAGATGCACCCTCTATGACGATGACGGTACCGGTCTTGTTGCCGGTTTGAATCTTTGCTTCTGTG